AAATCAGAAATTCAACTCATTGAAAACAGTCAAGGCAAATTTTGATAGGTCCCTACTATTTCATACGTGTTTCGATGATTCGCCAACCCTGAACAGATATAGAACAAAATTATCATTTTGAGTCTGTTATGAAGAAATACCCTTCAGAGTATACAAAACGGCCAAATAATTTAAAAAAAATTTGAAAAGTATTTCGTAACTATTCATTAAATATCACTCTAAAAAGTTTTTCTTTTTACTGATGCATTTTCATGACAGCCAAAGACCCTATGGTTATTGAAGACAAACAAACATCGAAACGTTTTTATTCTTTCCAATCACCTGTTTGTATTCAGTAATCGCGATACAAGCCGGTAGTTGTGGACCCTCTTGCCAATCCCAGCAACAATTCCGATTCATATAAAAATGCTGGAAACAAAGGAAGGAAGCTGAGAAACATCTCGTAGACATCCATAATGTTAATGGGTCATGGCTGTGTGGACACTCAGTCTCCTTTCTCCCAAGGAAGAAAGCTGAGAATTATTTTCGCCGACATCCATAATGTTAAAGGGTCATGACTGTCTGGAATCGCAGTCCTCTTTTTAAATAGATATGCGTTTCTCAGACCGTTCATTGTCAGTTGAGCAGCCTGTCGTAGATACGTAAATAATAGAACGGTTTTCAGCTATTGTTTTTTGTTCTGTGATACAAAATAGAAAATCAAATTCTATAAGGAGAGCGTAAACTGCCACCTGATATTTCACACTTCTAAGACATTTATGAAAATATAATGTCACCTTTAACATTGTCGCTGACTGAACCCTTCTATCCATTCAAAATTAAAATTACTGACTCTTTTTCAGGTCATTAGTTCGAGTTCATTGGGACTACACCACGTTATAAAGCACAGGTTCTGTATCAATCTCAACATTGAACAAAATGATGTTTCTTGGCTTGGAGCTGGTGTTCCTTTTGTCAGCTGGTATTCCTTATATTAGGATGTATGGTAATACTGAAGACTCACCAAACCAACCTACCCCACACAATCTACAAGACACACTGGATCGTCAGTGTCGACTAATGAGAACTGAAAGCTGTAAGCATGGACCATGGATACTACAAATTTGCCAACGCAATGCGTCACACGTACATCTAAAGAACAAAGAACGACCAAAGACAACAACACTCCCAAGAACGAAATGGACAGAAGAGGATAAACGATCGGTGTTCAATTCCTCTTCACTTCGGCAGGACATACTTCAATCAACGACCCTTGACACTGCGGCCTCAAATGGCAGCTCCATAAACTGCCAGTGTCAGGGTAACAATTGTTCAGAGCCAAAGTTCATGATTGTTTTGTTCAAAGGGCGGTCTGTGTACTTCAAGGCGTATGATAGTTCGAAAAACACGTTTTATAAGTGGGCTTCGTTAACTATCCGTATTGCTGACGCTCGAGCTAGAATGCAGGTGGATTATTCTAGGTGTTACATCTATGTAGTGTTAAAGGGGAGATCAGTTTTGTTGCAATATGGAATAAGAAATGGACGAGCAGTTTCCAAAAGAAGAATTTGTTCAGATGTTACAGCTTTCGCTCTTGATCGAATCAGGAACGACTTGTTTATTCTGAAGCGCCGCCGTCATCAGTTCGAGTTGATAACAGTGCCTCTACAGGAGCCAAAGAAACGAATGACAATACCAGCACAGACCCTAGATCAGAGGGTTCCCATTTTGTGGTGTGACGCAGACATCACGAGTGTGTACTGGTGGTGCCCTTCTGTGCTCTGCAGATACGACCACAGCACGAACAGAGTCACAACACTGGATTTTGTCCGGTCTCATAGACATCATGTCATGGCAGTTGGCTCAGGGAAAGTATACTTCATGAACAATGGCTTACAAATATATGACATAATCATCAATAAAGTCCACAGAGTGAAGCAAATGTATGCCATGAAAAGATATTCCTTCCTAGACGTGACACAAGGAACTGTTATCTTTACCCGTGAAATACAGCAGCACATAAAAGTCATGTTATATAAGAAAGGACACCGTAAAATGATGCATATGAGAAAGGGTCTTAAAGGTTTAGATCACTTTGAGGTAACAGTTGGATAAGAAGCCTGGTATATTTTAGAACATTAACAATTATACTGTGTTTTAAAACCGCCTGATTTTAACTCCACAGACATAGTTGTCAGGTTTGATAAATGGCAAGTCATCCCAAAGCCCAAGCGTATGATGTGCTTGCTTGGATTGTTTTAAAACATTATTGTTTTCCAGAAAAATACTGGAACATCATTATGTCCTCAGGCTTTGCAAAAATGCGAATTGTCTGCTGGACATTCTGAATGTCCTTAACTGTGAAACTGTTGTATTTTGTGTGTGTTGAACCAGTGTCTGAGTAAATATCCCGTCTCTAATCATATTGGTTAGAGGGATGGGAGAACAGAACCTAAGTAATAAAAAGCTTTAAACGCCAACGACCTGCATTATTGTCATCCTTATTAAGCTGACATGCCCTGTATAACTGAAATATTGTTCAAACCCACGTCAACTCACTCACTCACTCACTCGCTTACGCTTTCCTTGCTCCAGAGTCACAAACTATGTATAATCCTTTGAGAATATTGTAACATACTGCTTCCTAAATGTGTAGTTCCATAGTTTCCAGCTGTGTGTGCCTCTTCCAGGCCACCTTGTGAAAAATGGAAACTATTTTCTATATATGACGCCTTTGGCTACTGTCTAATATCTACAGGTTAACTTAATAGCGAAGTGAAATCAGATGAACTGAGGTGAGTTGAAATGGGGTTAAAGGTTGCCTTCAAGATTATTGCACTTATATAATATGGGTGTGTTGCGGCTTGTACTACTCCGGACTCATGCGGCAGCTTAATATGTATATCCCACTGTGTCATATCTCTAATTTACACCGACTCGGGACGTCCTGTCCTGGACTAACACCATGGCATATACAATTGAACCTCGTTGTGTCGAACTTGGATATGTCGAATTCGCTGTTGTGTCAAACTCATTTCGGAGTCCTCAGAATTAAAATATATCATATAATTCCCCTGATGTCTGGAACGAAAGATAACCCGAACTTTATTCCAGGTCCCAACGATTTCGACACACCGAGGTTCGTCTGTTTTTATGTCCCTTCACCATCAGCAAAGAGACAAACACTCGGCCTCTTCAGACTCACATGTTCAATATCGTAATTAAATACGGATGGAGTGATATAAACTATTTTATTAGAAATAATTATTTGTGATAAAAAGACGCCATGTTGATGATTAAATCTGGTTGGAATATAGTACTTCGAATAATGTCTCACATACCCTTTCGGGGCTTTTTAACAACAAACAAACAATTTATTTATTGCCTCATTAAATGGAGATCTAAACAAACAGAAGGAACTGGAGTTTGTCAGGGAAACATATTTCAACTCCAAACAGCAATGCGTAAAACATACAAAGGAATATACAACGAGGGTAGTTCGTGGCTTCACATAAACCATAAATATTAGTCACACATCAGTAAAACCTCCTTTGAATTTCAGCCATGCACCAGCTTTGTAATCGCTGCCCTGTAGCTGGCGTAGACAGGCAGTCAACACGTCTTAACTGGAAACAACTCTACAGAAGTGATTTGAGTTTTGGGAAGAAATGCTGGGGGCATTCATAAGTAATTCAAATCTACAACTGCACCTCCTGCCTTGCGTAACGTGTGCATTCACACTGGCTAATAGATCATATATTGATAAGTAAGGAGCGTTGAAACATCTGATCTGATCACTCATTATCATTTATTCTGTTATTTTGATTACGTCACACAATGTTACATTCAATGTTGCATATTATAAAAAAGCTCATTGTCCATATCTCTAAAACTCGATGTTAAAAAGAAAGTACTTGAATAACGATACTGATAAAACATGTACTTGTTGTTCATATTTAATGCTTTTTCTCTCCATGTCAGATGACACTTTCCTTGAAGACAAAACTCCTAACATAAAAACTGTTATACCAAATAACACTTCATATAACATTAGGCGCCACAACTACACTGTGAATTGCAGATGAAAAGAGTAAAAGCAAACGGAATGAAAGTTGTGGAGCATCGGTCTTTCACTTTGGAATTTCATCAATGGCGAATGTATCAGTCAAAGTAAACATTTACAGTAAACTACATTTATAACGAACAGGTTTATAACAAACTGATGGATACAACAAACTTGTCTTTTCGGTCCCGGCCATTTGTTGTATATACGTTGCATATATGCTTAAAACGAAGGAAGGTTATAACGAACTAAAATTAGCGGTTCCTTTGAGTTCTTTATAACCGTAGTTTACTGTACCAATATTGAGGTGATCAATCGGCATGTGATATTTGTAATTTTCTGTCTTAACCAGACCAACAAAATATGGCAGAGTCGTGTGGCCATACCTCATAGGTCCAACATCAAAGAAAGTTAAAGGTTTGCATCCATGTGGATATTAGTGAGTGAGTGAGTGAGTTGGGTTTGACGCCGCTTTTAACAGTACTCCAGTTATATCACAGCGTGTCAGCTTAATGTTGGAGGAAAGCCCGAAGGGATGCAGGTCTCAGACGTTTACCACTTCGGTGAAACCCACGAGCACGGGTATGGTGCTGACAAACCTAGAAACATATTTGGGTTGAACCGGGATTCGAACCCACAATCATAGGTTTCTGACGTGTCCAAGGGACGCAACTCTGCACAGCGAAACGCGGCGCCTCAGGCGACTGGGTCACCCGTGCCCCCCGAGGATATTAGATGCTTATTACCCGGAGTTACAAGAATTTCAAACTCGTTGTCTATCAGGTCCTCACATGCATTATTAATACTTAATCTTTTTACACAATCTCAAATAATTATGATATCCTGATATACTAGTATTAAATGCTGCACTGATCTATCTGAAAAAAACTTTCCTTGAACCTCTTCTAAATAGCTTAAAGTTTTAAAGATTTATGTCACTGTACAATACAACTGAAATCTACTCCTGACAGACAAAGTGTATCTCATGCTCATCTGTGTGACTCACAGACTCGTTGATGATGGTGAAACCGGCTTTAGCAACCATCTCTCTTGCCAAAGATGCACCCCATGTAGCCCCAAGTGCTGCAGAGTCAGGCCTGCGCAAGCTTTCCGGAATACACAAGAATGTGCTCGCCGAGTAGTAGAACATAGCTGAAGCATTAGCAATGTTGCCAGTTATGCCTCCCTCTATTCCAACCTCAATCATGCTGAAAATACCCCCTGGTTTCAGACACTGGTAAATCTCGTTTAAGGCTTTCTGTGGATATGTTAAGTCATGAATAACTAGACGGGTTAGTATCCAATCAAAACTCTCCTTGTAGCTTTCAGATATAGTTTCAATATTGTCTGTGTCATAAGTGACATTCTGAAGGCCCTGGTTGCTTGCTTCCTCTCTGGCTTGAACCAATGGCACGCTTGCTACATCAGAACCAAGGAAGGTGCTGTTCTTGAATCGCGAAGCTAATTTGTTTAAAATTATCCCAGTTGCACAACCAAATTCCGCAACCTTGATTCCGGATTCTGTATTAAAAAACAAACAAGTTAAGTAAGACATAAGACAGAAACCTTGAAATACTTCAGAATTAGCACTCAAAAGTAAAATATCAAACACAATTCCTACCATCAACATATAGTCGAGTTGTATCAATATTAAATCATGTTAAGTTAAAACATATCAGTGCGATATGCCTTCATTTGGTTTCCCTTGTAAAGTACATAGTTAGAAGATAGGTACGTGGCACAAAAGCATATAACCTTTGAGCTCTTATAAATTTATTAATAAACTATTGCATAATTGTGATCAAAATTGGTCGTTAACGCGGGAATTGTTGTATTGTGCGCCTACTCGTCTATTCGTTTACCCACCTAACTTTGGCAGCAACAGAGGAATGGCAGACAGGATATCTGTATCAATCATATCTTTCTTGACTACGACCAAAATGTCTGTCAATGTTTCAAAAAGCCCAGGGGTTTGACTGTAGACTATTCCTGTAAATATAAGAAAACCATACCAACGCCAACGCAACTGAGAGAAAGCGTCAGGTACACAAGATCACTTCGTTATACAAAAACATGCGTAGAGATAAAAGCTGAAAGTATGTATGAATTTGCACAGTTTATCAAATAGTGATGATACCAAGTGTTCGCGAAAATTTGAGTGTATCCTCCCCTACCAGTGGCACCCATCACAAACACATGCAAAGGCAAATGAATTGTTCACCTGACCCCTGAAGATCCGGGGTAAAATAGGTATTCAGCAACCCATGCTTGCCGTAAGAGGCGACTAACGGGATCGGGTGGTCAGGCTCGCTGACTTGGTTGATGCATGTCATCGTATCCCAATTGCGTGGCTCGATGCTCATTATATCAATCACTGAATTGTCTGGTCCACACTCGATTATTGAGACATTTGAGATACAAAGGTAACTGAAACTGTACATTTGACATCCTTTATTTGACAAGGAAATGGGGACACAGAAATGAACCTTATAAGTCATATACCATCTTTGTATCTGCGTCACATCCTTTAAGGTGTGATTAAACATTGTTTAATGAATTGTATTGAATTGAATAAGGAAGATCATGCATAGATGGACAATATGTCAATGAGTGAAACTTGGTTATTTGTTCCTGATAAAGGACTAGATATTATTATTTTGTCATATTATTGATTCTAAGAGTACCTTTTCTAACAACAGTTACCATTGTTTCATAAAGTTGAATCACTTTCTACATGATGATTAACTTATGATCAACTTCAAAGCATAAATACCCCTGTTTTTCATGATCAATACCATATCGGATTCCTCATTGGAAGAACTGATAATACTTATGTTCCAGACGTGTGTGTCAATTGAAAACTCTACTTGAACGTAACTGTGTTTCTGCATGTTCACTCTCAACAGGATTACAACTCATGTCGAGAAATAGGAATGTAAATAAGTGTCTGAGTATTATATTGATGAAATCCATGTGAATGTACAATGTCCTTACCACCAGTGTTCCGTTGTTGAGCACAGTCCTTGATACTGGCATGTCTCAAACCAAACTGTGGCAAAAATCTGGAAAACACGGATATTGCATTGAATGTGGCCTTGCGGTCATCTGGAACATGGAACTGGGTGGACGAGTCGTCCACGCTGATGACCTCCCCGACAGCGAGTGAACCAAGTATCTCACGCACATACCTGTGGAAATATAATATAATTATAATTAAAACATTTATTTATCAAAAACTTGTTCAAAGCTCATAATGATACGAGGGCTGGTCAAAACGTTCTACGCCTGACTAACTTGCAACTATGGGCCATAACAAAGTGAACTAGTCGAGATAGAACATTATTTGAGTATTGAAACTAGTATTCACAAACATTTACAGACGAATAAGATATCTGCTCGTTGGGTACCAAAAGGTTTCTAAATTCTGATCTAAAGGAAAAGGAACTGACATTGACAGAGAAAATTAAAAGCTAATTGGGGAGGGTTTCGTCAAATTCCAAAAGATTAGTAACGGGGGATGAAACATATGTCTACCACTATGATGGCGCCATTCCACTTCTCTGGCACCAAAGAAATTCAAGTCTTCATGATCAGTGAAGAAAGTTATGGCCACTGTATTCTGAGATGCACAGGGTGTGATCCTTGTTAATTACCTTAGAAAGTCAAAAGACGATTACCGGTGGTCACTATGCTGATTTGCATTTATCGCCTGAGAGATTCTGTCAAAAAAAAGCAGTGAGGAATACTGACTGCTGGAGTTCTACTACTTCATGACAATGCCTCTTCTTACACTTCTCGACTTGCAAAGGATTCTGTGCGACAGGATGGTTTCGAAGAACCTTCTCATCCTCCATACTCGCCAACCTGGCACCAATGATTTCTAATCTATGACGACAACAACGACCGCAAAGCTGTCGTGAATCGGTTTCTTTAGGGTGGTTTCAGAAAACATCTTCCTGACTGGAATTAAAAAGCTTCACTATCGATTTGAGAAGTCTTTTGAAAACCTGGGAGATTATGTTGAAAAACACAATTAACCAAATCTCCTCACAATTATTGCTTTTGTTTGTTAGGCTTACAACTTTTTGACCAGCCCACGTATATAACTCTTACAATATAAACTCAATCGAGTGGACGGTCCCCATTGGTATGGAGCAATGTCACTTTGTTTGTAGGAGAAGTTCTGGGCAGTATTCAGGTTCTTAAACTTTCAGGGTCCCGGACGTAAATGGCGGCATAACAGAATATGTATGAGATGCCCTCCGCGTCTCCCCCCCCCCCCCCCCCCCCCCTTCATCATGAAACGGTATTTACCTTTCTCTGAGGTTCAGCTTGTCAGCCACCTGCTGTGATGTGAGAGGGACTTTGGCTTCCATCAACATCTTCACCACGCCCAACTCCCTTGCCAGGGACAAGCTTAACATGACACCACCGGCGCCGAAATAGTTCATCATCTTCTTGTGGTAGTCCGACATCGTCTCAAGTGTAGTAGTACTTGAGTTTAGCCTGCCAGCAAGTGTAACTAGAACAATTCCCACACTAAACCTATCACAAAATAGGCCAGTTACAGCAATGTGATATTTTATTGTAAGTTTGTGAAGCATTTTTAATGTCAAATTTCGCTTTCAAATCTGTCGTAAGCTGTTCTTACAGTTAAGATCTCGCAGCGTCTCGCAACAAACATCTCCGCACACAAACACGCTTCCTTTCGCACTCACGAACAGTTCAGTCTTTGCTTCACACAACGTTTTAGCTGAGGGGACTATTTGACCTACTCCTCTTTGATATCCACAAAGACACAATAAGAAAACTGTCGTTTCTGTCAAGCCTGTGGTTTATCTCACAATGGTTTGCTAGCCATACTTCACAGACATTCTGTTCACTTCTCTAACGCTCACCTGAATTTCTGTCAAATGTAGGTTCACTGTTAAATCTTCCACTAACACAGCACCAGCACACGTCTGTGTGCTACTTGACGCTCTCTATTTAGGTCAAGTGGGTCAAGTCTCCCAGGCGATGTGTGTTTTCTGCTGTTAAGTAATAAGAAAACCACTTGTAAATCTATCGTTGACATAAGGTTTCATTAAAAAAATATTCAGTATATACACGCATTAGTGAAAATTAACTTTGATAGGTGTTTTGTTGTTGAGATTTAACCATCTTGCAGCTGTCTGTTATAGTTTTCGTATTCACTCACATGAAATCAAGACGAAAATAGATTTAAGTACCGAAATAATGAATGTTTTTTCATTAAATATTTTGTTTACCTCAATGCACAATAAGAGTGAAAGTATTGTTTTAAGAATAGCAACAAATAACACTAAACTGTGCCCAAACAAGTCCATGGTCAACCAGTGTTTGGGGCTCAGGGACGTCTGCTACATAAAATTGGGATATTTCTTAAAAACTTTTAATGAACGTCTTGGTCTTCATTACACGATGGCCTCCGAAGATTAGTATTTCGAGTTATATCCCGTTACTTTCTTGACAACTTATGTCATAGCAGTTCATTCTGTGTGCACCTTTTTATATACTAGTACCTACATTACCCTTCGCTGAATACCTCTGCCCCGTACTCCCACCCCCTGTCATAAATGGCCGGGCCCTTAGCTGCAACGAGAGGTCATACCCAATACCCTAAAGTCAAATACCCCGATTAAGACTCGCTAAGTTTCAGTGAAAGTCCTTGACATCCAGTCCCAACGATTTTTTTCAGTGCTTGTGGCATGCCGATATTTAATGCTAAAGTACAGCCGCCCACCAACTGTAATCTTGGGGTGATTACCCACACATCGCAGATACAGGGTGCAACCGGTGTAAAATGATAAGGGTTAATGGGGGAGCTATGAAGTTGAACCAATGAACCAATTATTGGTTGGAGTGAGCTGTTCACACCGCACCTGTTAGGAGGGCCGACCCTTCATGACCTTATTACTACACTACTGCCCAAAAGTTCATTCCCCTTACACGCATGGGTAATGCGTGACGCAACCCGTGTGCACCGCGTTGGTCACTCGTACAGAACCTGTCCGCTTCGCGGCTGACACCCGTGTGCGACGCGTTGAACACTGGTGTGCACCCCCTTCGCCACCCGTGTGCAACGCGTGACACTCTCATTTCATAAGGCACAAACGTTTGACTAAAGGAGGACCCATGTTAAGTTGAAACTAGAATTAGTAACAAGTAGAACATTTTTTTATATCCTGACGAAAAATGTTCAGACACATTTTATGATATATACTTGCTGGTGTCTCCTTTTTAGATGTGATTTTGTAGGAAAATATGAGTAGCGTTGTGATCAATCAGTTCTTATCTATAAGACCATTGGCTTCTTCATGATCGTTTGCTTTTGTGAGAACGAATGATCCTGGAAAATTTGTCATTATCATATATTGAAAAGTTTGTGTGATTTGATATTAAATGTCTGTAGTGCGACTTCCAGTGATTATATTTATGAGGTTTGGCGGAGCATTGTTTTCATTGGACACTAATCACCTTGTGATGGCTGGGTCTCCTTGTCTCAGCTCAGTAGCCGTGAGAAAGTGCAGCAGTTACTTATTGAGAGTAGGTTATATCATGGAGGATACATTTGAGGGAGAGGGTTCTACTATTGCCTTGCCGCAGGAAGAGACTAGCAGATGTGCGCGCGTGGTTGTGAATAAGGTAACTGTGGCGTAGTGGCCACCGACAGAGGTATAAATAGAGGTAAAATATGAAAGTATAATACTTACCCGACCTGCATTTACTTATCTCTCTGTCGTTATCAATGTTAACACCTGTCTGTTTTAAAGTGTATGTACGTATACTAGAACATCGTACTGATTACGGAATGGTACATCATCTTAACACATTTACTATTATGTGCTGCATATACCACGATATTTTGATTTTGTAGTCAAAAAGAATTGTTACCCCGATTATTACTGTATGATGGTTCACTCCTGTTCAGACGTGACATTCTGACAATTAGGTCATGTGTAATAGTCATCACAATCTCACCGGTTGTGGAGAAGTCTTGCGATAGTTGAGACTGATAGGCTGAGATATAAAGCAACTTATTTTCACATAGACGCTAACGCTTGCCATTTCATAATCCATTATCTTGGTGTTGTGGTATAACTATTGTATTGACAAGACCGCTTGTGTGGTGTGGTGTTTGTTTATTTGTTGTTTAACGCCGCACTCAGCAGTATTCCAGCTGTATGACGGCGATCTGTAAATAATTGAGTCTGGACCACACAATCCAGTGATTGACATTTTGAGCATCGATCCACGCAATTTGCATACGATGACATGCATGAACCAGGTCAGCGAGCTTGACCATCTGATCCTGTTTATCGCCTCTTACGACAAGCATAGTCGCCTTTTACGGCAAGCATAGGTTGGTCTGTTCTACACTGGAATCTTCACGGATATGATATTGGATAAAGAATGAGTTAAAATTTAACGTTGCATCGTCATAAATACATCTATATAGCGGTTAGAACAAGTTGATATACTATACAACTGAGTCATGAATACAAAGCGATATTTGAATACAGATTTGTCAAACATGTCATGACAATAATATTTACAACTGTTTACAACAAGGACCATAAGCTTCCTGCACAATATCCCAGCAGGATTTACGTCATCACCTTTAGCTGCTTGTGGTTGTACTCAATTCTAGTCAATTCTAAAAAGTACTCAACAATTAGTTGGCTGGTTGATGAGCGCTATGTTATGATAGGAATAAGGGGGCAATACGTTTACAGTACTTTAACCTCCTTGACAGAGCTTTGAATAATCTTTGTTGATGCAAGCATCACACAAATTTTATAAACAAGCAATTAGTGACACACATGCATATTTTTTTTCATTCATGATACAGAACAATTTCTTTCAAGTTGCTGAGAATGAGATGCCCGCTTACACGGGAAATCATTTTTCAGATTTACTGTTGGGTAATTTGAATCACTTTGCAAGTTCACACAGTGAAGCAAAGTAGGCTTGACGGTGAACCTTTCATCACAAGGAATACACTTGGATGGTTCGTCCTTTTCTGTTTTAAGCAGATATTCGCGGGTAAACCGACTTTGGCCAATACGACATCGTTGCAAAACGACCACATCATGTCTAGACGGACAAACCAAGTAATTTTGACTGAGTGTAGGTTTAAATTCGTGAAGTTTATTGATTCCTACCTGACTGTCCCACCTTTTTTTGCATTAGATCACGAGAATAACTCCTTATGGTTGGTTTGAAATCACTGTATGGGATAAGAAGTGGAGATAGCGGTTCGTCAAGATCGGCTTTAGCTGCAGCATCGGCTATTGAGTTAACTATTTTTTCAACATGACGAGCAAAAGACGATGTCAAATTAGCCAGAAGGAAGAACATTAAAAGATCAGACTCTCTTACAACAAAGTTCTGTTCACATATCAGACATGACTTGTTGGAACAAGACACCTCATCCAGTCCGTCATGATAATTTATTATACTTTTACAATTATATTCTTAATGGACTCAGTGCCGATATTGTGTCTTAACGTCAGTCTCTCGTTTCTGAGTAAAGAAATCAGTAACATTCACAACGTGATCGGATTTGTACACTTGTCAAAGATTTTAAGTGTTTATGCCAGCGTGTGACCGATGCATTGTGATTGTATGGGCGCTTTCGTATGTGGCCTTTTTTCAAAATATTACTTGTTATCACCTTGAATGCTTACCTAAGAAAACATTGACAGTGAAATCGATCAGCCAGATGATATCCAGTCTCGGTTATCTGCCGAAGCAAATTCCATTGGGCATGAAACTCAAAGTAGTGATAAAAGTTATATGAAATCAACTGGATAGGTCCTTACTATTTCATACGTGTTTCGATGATCCGCTAAAACCGAACAAATGTAGAACGAAATTAACATTTTTAGTCAAACGGCAAAGTAATTTAAAAAACATTTTTGAGAATTGTTTCGTAAATATTCATAAAAGATTACCCGAAAAGGTATTTCTTTTAACTGATACATTTCCATGACAGCCAAAGACCCTATGGTTATAGACAAACAAATCTCGAACAATTTTTATTCTTTCCAATCACCTGTTTGTATTCAGTAATCGCGATACAAGCCGGTAGTTGTGGACCCTCTTGCCAATCCCAGCAAACATTCCGAGTAATATAAAAAAGCTGGAAACAAAGGAAGGAAGCTGAGAAATATCTCGCAGGCATCCATAATGTTAATGGGTCATGGCTGTGTGGACACTCAATCTCCTTTCTCCCAAGGAGGAAAGCTGAGAAATATTTTCGCCAACATCCATAATGTTAAAGGGTCATGGCTGTCCGGAATCGCAGTCTTCTTTGTAAATAGGTATGTCTTTCTCAGACCGTTCATTGTCAGTTGAGCAGTCTGTCGTAGAAACGTAAATAATAAAACAGTTTTCAGCCATTAGTCTTTGTTCTGTGATACAAAATAGAAAATCAAATTCAATAAGAAGAGCGTAAAGGGCCACCTGATATTTCACACTTCTAAGAAATTTATGAAAATATAATGTCACCTTTATCTTTGTCGCTCACTGAACCCTTCTATTCATTCAAAATTCAAATAACTGACTCCTTTTCAAGTCATTAGTTCGGGTTCATTGGGACTACACCACGTTATAAAGCACAGGTTCTGCATCAATCACAACATTCTACAAAATGATGTTTCTTGGCTTGGAGCTGGTGTTCCTTTTGTCAGCTGGTATTCCTTATATTTGGATGTATGGTAATACTGAAGAATCACCAAACCAACCTACCCCGTACAATCTACAAGACACACTGGATCGTCAGTGTCGACTTCTGATAACTGAAAGCTGTAAACTTGGACCATGGATAATACAAATGTGCCAAGGCAATATGCCACAAATACATGCAAATAACAATGAACGACCAAAAACAACAACAATTCCAAGAACGAAATGGACAGAAGAGGATAAACGATCGGTGTTCAATTCCTCTTCACTTCGGCAGGACACACATCACTTCACGACCCTTGACACTGCGGCCTCAAAAGGCAGCTCCATAAACTGCCAGTGTCAGGGTAACAATTGTTCAGAGCCAAAGTTCATGATTGTTTTGTTCAAAGGGCAATCTGTGTACTTCAAGGCGTATGATAGTTTGACAAACACATTTTATAAGTGGGCTTCGTTAACTATCCGTAAAGCTGACGCTCAAGCTGGAATGCAGGTGGACTCTTCTAGGTGTTACATCTATGTAGTGTTAAAGGAGAGATCAGATCTGTGGCAATTGGGGATAAAAAATGGACGAGTAGTTTCCAAAGGAAGAATTTATTCAGATGTTACAGCTTTTGCTCTTGATCGAATCAGGGACGAAATGTTTATTCTGACGCGTCGCCGTCATCAGTTCGAGTTGATAACAATGCCTCTACAGGAGCCAAAGAAACGAAAGACCCTAACTGCACATACCCTAGATCAGAAGGTTCCCATTATGTGGTGTGACGCAGACATCACGAGTGTGTACTGGTGGTGCCCTTCTGTGCTCTGCAGATACGACCACAGCACCAACAGAGTCACAACACTGGCTTTTGTCCGGTCTCGTAGACGCCATTTCATGGCAGTTGGCTCAGGGAAAGTATACTTCATGAACTTTGGCTTAAAAATATATGACATAATCATCAATAAAGTCCACACAGTGAAGCAAATGTATGCCATGAAAATATATTCCTTCCTAGAAGTGACACAAGGAACTGTTATCTTTGCCCTTGAAATACGACAGCACATAAAAGTCATGTTATATAAGAAAGGACACCAAAAAACGACGTACATGAGAAAGGGTCTTAAAGGTTTAGATCACTTTGAGGTAACAGTTGGATAAGAAGCCTGGTATATTTTGGAATATTAACAATTGTACTGTGTTTTACAACCTCTTGATTTTAACTTCACAGACATAGTTGTCAGGTTTGATAAATGGCAAGTCATTCCAAAGCCCAAGCGTATGATGTGGTTTCTTGGATTGTTTTAAAACATTATTGTTTTCCAGAAAAATACTGGAACATCATTATGTCCTCAGGTTTTGCAAACATGCGAATTGGCTGCTGGATGCCCTTAACTGTGAAACTGTTGTGTTTTGTGTGTGTTGAACAAGTGTCTGAGTCAATATCCCGTCTCTAATCATATTGGTTAGAGGGATGGGAGAACAGAACGTAAGTAATAAAAAGCACCAAGCGTCAAAGACCTGCATTATTGTCATCCCTATCAAGCTGCAAGCCCTGTATAACTGAAATATTGTTCAAACCCACGTTAACTCACTCACCCATTGGCTTACCCTATCGTAACCCCAGAGTCACACACTATTTATCATCCTTCGAGAATATTGTCACATACTGCTTTCTAAATGTGTAGTTCGATAGTTTCCAGCTGTGTGTGCCTCTTCCTGGCCACTTTGAGGAAAATAGAAAATGTTATCTATATATGACGCCTTTGGCTAATATCTTCAAGTTAACTTAATAGCCAAGTGAAACCAGATGAGCTGAGGTGAGTTAAAATGGGGTCTAAGGTTGCCTTCAAGATTATTGCACTTATATAACGTGTGTGTGGCGGCTTGTACAACTCCGGACTCTTAACATGTATATCCCACTGTGCCAAATCTATAATTACAACGACTTGGGACGTCCTGTCCTGGACTTCCACCCATGGCATACACAGTCGAACCTCGTTGTGTCGAACTTGGATATGTCGATTTCGCTGTTGTGTCGAACTCATTTCGGAGTTCCAAGTATTAAAATTACACATGAAATGTCTGGAACCAAAGATTACTCGAACTTTATTCCAGGCTCGAACGATTTCAACACAACGAGGTTCGGCTGTTCTTATGTCCCTTCATCATCAGCAAAGAGACAAACACTTGGCCACTTCAGACGGACATGTACATTATCGTAACTAAAACGGATGTATTGATATGAAATATTTTATTGGAAATATATATTTGTGATAGAAAGACGCTGCATTGATGATGTATTGTCGATGCGAATAGGTACATTATGACTCGCATTCCTTTATGTATTTATGTGTTCAGTGTGTGATCAAAACAAGACATTCTCATAACCTATCACGATTCTAAGAAAAAAAGTTTTGTTATGACCTGCTGCACACAGAGCACGGGATTCAAAATTCCTTTCCTCTTACATCGAGTGCTTGGATTCAACCATCAACACTTTGTCCACACGATCCCTTAGCTGAACATCTTCAGTAATGTCACAAACAAAGAAATGTCAGTGCTAATAAAAATTTGATCTTCTTCAAAAAGACATGCACCAATGTCTATGCACGACACGACGACCCGTTGAGTGTAATTATATGAATATCGTTCATTTCACATGGATTTGATGCACAAGATGCTTAACATGGCAGCATACATCAACAGCCAGGACTCTCTGTGGTTGCGTCCTGCTCCATTGACGGGGCACCGAGGCTTCTCCTCCACATCGACCTCCTCTTTGTACTGCCAGTTCCCACACTGGGGGAAGTGTTTAGGGGGTCGGGGCATCTGGTTCAGCTCCCCAACCTGCACGATGAGGCCCATCCCGATTGACTGATGGAAGTCAATGTGGCAGTGCATCAGCCAGAAACCTGATAATATTGAAAGCAAGAGTGAGTGAGTGTATGTTTAAGTGAGTGAGTGAGCGAGTGAGTCAGTCAGTCAGTCTTGTTTTAGGCCGAACTCAGCAATATTCCAGCTATATTACGGCAGTCTGTAAATAACCCTGTCTGGATCACACATATCAGTGACCGACATCTTGAACATCGATCTACGCAAATGAGATGCGATGACATGCATCAACCAAGTCACCAAGCTTGATTACCCGATCCCGTTAGTCGCCTCTTACGACAAGCATAGTCGCCTTTTACGGCAAGCATGGGTTACTGAACACTCCCATAAACCTGGTATCACTATCCAATAAATATGTAAATGAGGGTGCTAAGCAGGAACTATATTCAAAACATCTAAATGATGCGATGGCAAATTTGTCAAAAACCTTACATAACACTAGACAAAAGTCAATTCCCGATCAAGTAAGCTAACGTCGCGGCAAGTACCTCTGGACCCTTCAATCCCCACTTTCATTTCTACACTAGTGAAGTTATGATGTCATTTTGTGTTCTGAATTTGATCTTTTCTACACAGACAGTATTGTCGGCGTTAGATCGAACAATAAAATATCATAACAATTTCTACTTTATTTACGATACAAAAACATACTCGGGTAAAAAGGTATACATAGCAAAAAACGAGTTCTGAACATTGAAGTGACATAAAAAGATATTTCAAATACATAGCTTATGCAAAATCGCTTGTAGGAACATATGTGGTTTGTCATTCAGGAATATTTCAGTTCTGTCGCGGCTGTTTGAAAATAAATCAGGTACTCAGAAACTAGTCATCAGAACCCCTGTAATCCGTATTTAATCTGATGATCGTGTACCACCAACTCTCGTAATCCACTTTTAATCTCATGATCGTGTACCACCAACTCCCGTTATCCACATTTAATCTCATGATCGTGTTCCACCAACTCCCGTAATCCGCATTTAATCTGATGATCGTGTACCATCAACTCCCGTAATCCGCATTTAATCTGATGATCGTGTACCATCAACTCCCGTAATCCGCATTTAATCTGATGATCGTGTACCATCAACTCCCGTAATCCGCATTTAATCTGATGACCGTGTACCATCAACTCCCGTAATCCGCATTTAATCTGATGACCGTGTACCATCAACTCCCGTAATCCGCATTTAATCTGATGATCGTGTACCATCATCTCCCGTAATCCGCATTTAATCTGATGATCGTGTACCATCAACTCGCATAATCCACATTTAGTCTGATGATCATGTACCACCAACTCGCGTAATGCACATTAAGTCTGATGATCATGTACCACCAACTCGCGTAATCCACATTAAGTCTGATGATCATGTACCATCAACTCGCATAATCCACATTTAATCTGAAGATCATGTACCACCAACTCGCGTAATCCACATTTAGTCTGATGATCATGTACCACCAACTCCCGTAATCCACATTTAATCTGATGATCATGTACCACCAACTCGCGTAATCCACATTTAGTCTGATGATCATGTACCATCAACTCGCGTAATCCACATTTAGTCTGATGATCATGTACCACCAACTCGCGTAATCCACATTTAGTCTGATGATCGTGTACCACTATGAATCACATATTAAGATTTCCAACATTCAGTCTGATCATGTGCATTTGTTGTTTAACGCCGCACTCCAGCAATATTCCAGCTATATGAAGGCTGTCTGTAAATCGAGTCTGGACCAGACAATCCAGTAATTGATATCCTGAGCATCGGTCTACTCATTTGTGATATGATGACATGCATCAACTTGCTCAGCGAGCCTGACCACCCGATCCCGTTAGTGGCCTCTTACGACAAGCAAAGTCGCCTTTTAATCATAGGGTTTTCATTGAAAAAAGTGATGATCGTGTCACCTACTCGGGTTATCATGTTGAAAAGTGTAGTCAGGAAACATGCCTACGTAATCATCGTACAAAGTGATGACCTACCCGGGTTATCAGCATGAAACCTGATGATTGTGTAACCCCCATCAGCAACCGTGACAGTATCTTTAGCTATGGGTGTTTCTAGATTCCTCTCTATCAGACCAGCTTCATCCATCATTTTGATCTCTTCTAAAGAGGTTGATTGGTTGACCTGGTAAATAAGAACTTTTTACTAGGAGAGCATCGCAATGTTTGACAGTGAGAAACGTTAACAGTGTACTCGACGTTAAAAGTCAACGCTTTAACTAGGCTACCCAGACAATCTCATTTACAAATGGTGCAATGGATATGACTAGTAATAAGTGACGCCTCACCCTGTCCATCGCAACTACCCGGAAGTGATGGCCATGCAGATGTATCGGGTGGTTGGCGTTGAAGGTGACGCCCTCATCAATGAGCACCATCTCCACGGTGTCGTCCAGGTCGACCTTGATGACGTGGATACACTCACAGTACTGATGCGTGCAGTTCCTGGTGTTGTGGGGGCCGCAGAACATGTCCTGGGGGGAGAAGGTATCTGGTCATGCGTGTTTGAATATCTGCATAGCCTTTTGTTTCAGTGTTGATCTCACTTACCGCCTCCGTGGTCTAGTGGTAGAGCGTCCGCCAAGAGAGCGGACGTTCCGGGGTTCGATCCCCGGCCGTGTAATAAGCCAATCTAACACACACACACACACACACGCACGCACGCACACGCACGCACGCACGCACGCACGCACGCACGCACGCACGCACGCACACACACACACACACACCTTAGCTAAAAAGAGGACAATAATCTTGAATGTGACGTCAAACCCCATTTCACCTAACATCCTTCTTAGCAGCAGAAACCACTACCAACACAATTGCACTGGAAAGGTTATGTTTTTGTTTGTCCTATTTCCAGAGTATGTGGTTTTATTTCATTAATTAACAAAATGACATATTTCTCTCTTTTTCGCCAGGGGCTGCTAGCGGCTATTCGGTATGATCAGCAGTATTTCAGCTGCATGTCGCCCCCTTGTCTTGGAATTTGTTCAATTACATTTCATCAGTTCATAAATTGCATGAAACCTCTGCATTTACAGTGTAAGTATGACCTCGTTTTACGGTTCCACGGTCGCGACGTTTGACCCCACTTCACCTGATGTTACTAACCTGATACTGTACCCATCCTTTCGTCAAATGCGAGTAACTTAATCAGTATTGTATTCCATTTTGTTCATTAATAGATCTCAACATCCTGACTAGATATCGTTTTATTATGATTCCATCTTTGACGAATATGTTCAGAATGTAAAAGGAAGTTAAAACTAGTTTCCATGACTGGTTGGTATCAATTATGACTTTGTTGATTGCCCATTTGTCATAGACAAAAAAGAGGTACAATGATTGTTATGTTGGTACAAGAAACAGCTGAACTTGTTTCTAAACATCTCAGCTGAACCATCATGTTTACACACAAATTGCCTCCGATTCACAGATGGCAGAAAACGTTGTTGGCGACGGAGCGGCGAGCGGTATGCCAGGGCAACCATTCTTGACCATGATCGATATTGGGGCGGTAGTGTCATGGTGTGGGGCGGTATATATCACACATGGAAGGCGACTAATTTGGTTGTTGTGAATGGACATTTGACTGGCCAGCAATATGTTGACGAAATTGGAACTGCAAGATGACATTGCTGGACCACATCGTGCCCGGGTCGTCACCGATTATTACCGACGAGAAGACAAACGAACATTGGACTGGGCCGCTAGGTCCCCTTATGTACATGTCCCCAATAGATGATCTGAGAGATGTTCTCGCCAGAGACCCAGCTAGTAGCCCAGCTTTGGATAGCTCTTCAGGCGGAATGACGGCCAATACCATGGCCAATCATACGACAGTTAATCAAAGGTGTCGTGCATGTATCACCCAACATGGTGGACACAACAGATATTGATCTCCACGCCCGAAATAAATTGTGAAGACATATATGGTCATTACACCTTCAAAATCATTTAATCAGTTCCCTTATTATATCTAAGAGGATGTGCGTGCATATTAGTTGATTACTCCCGCCACAAAGAGCGCCGAAGTTATAGGAAGGGGGATGTAAATCGGTTGCAAGATAAATGGAAAACGGTTATAACGAATTAAGTAATAATTTATATAATTTACAAAATACATTTCTCTAATCTTCCATATTGTGGAGGTTACATTTCTCAGGACATCAACATATGTTCCACTGATATATATCATGACGCTTCATCAAGCTGTTTTTTTTGTTTTTTGTTGTTGTTTTCTTTTTTTTGGGGGGGGGGGGAGGGGGGGGGGGGGGGGGGGGGGGGTAGCCTAATGGTTAAAGCGTTCGCTGGTCACGCCGAAGACCCAGGTTCGATTACCGACACGGGTACAATGAAGCCCCCCGCCGTGATACTGCTTGAATATTGCTAAAAGCGGCGTAAAACCATACTCACTCACTCACTCACTGTTTTGGGGGTAGGGTTAACTCCGGTTAACACTTGCTTGTTTGAACTCACCTTGGGAATATCATCATATTGAGACAACGGGGGTGACGGTGGTGCAATGTTGGTGATGTGGTTCATCTGTGGCAAATACAGTCTCTTGTTCCGGTTGACGGCAGCCAAGGGGTATAACTCTTCGTGATTAAAGACGTAGTTGTCTACCTTGTTGAAGTCCATTGCAAAATAGAACTTCTTATCGGGCACCTGTTTCATGTGTAGGGGGTCTGCCAGAGTGGTGTTCAGCCACGACACGGGGGTCAGGTCAGGGGTGCCCTTCTTGTTCCAGGGGTTCAAAAGCTTTAACAATGATTAGATAGTGTTACAACACACAAGCTGCCCGACAAAAGACAGTACACATTTAAAAACTACCAATATATTACAAACGCTATCAAAAGGTTGCAAGGCTGAAAACAGACACAGCAAACTTAAGGTCAAAAACACAACAATGTAGGTCCACAAGGCTGTGTTTCCTGTCGTGTATATCACCTCCATGCTTACCGTCCCTCTGCCTACTCACTTCGTATGTAGGCCCACAAGGTTGTGTTTCCTGTCATGTATATCACGTCCATGCTTACTTTCCCTCCCTCCACCCACCCTCATAGTCTGTAGGCCCACTTGGTTGTGTCTCCTGTCATGCATATCGCCTCCATGCTTACCTTCCTTCTGCCTACTCACTTCGTATGTAGGTCCACTAGGCTGTGTCTAATGTCGTGTATATCACCTCCATGCTTACCTTCCCTCTGCCTACTCACTTCCTATGTAGGTCCACTTGGGTGTGTCTAATGTCGTGTATATCACCTCCATGCTTACCTTCCCTCTGCCTACTCACTTCCTATGTAGGTCCACTTGGCTGTGTCTCCTGTCATGTATATCACCTCCAAGCTTACCTTCCCTCCCTCCGCCCACCCTCATAGTCTGTAGGCCCGCAGGGTTGTGTCTCCTGTCATGTATATCACCTCCATGCTTACCTTCCCTTCCCTCCGCCCACTCTCATAGTCTGTAGGTTCAGTAGGCTGGTCCTCCGTGGCGTTCTCATACCTCAAGATGGCCACCTGTTTCGCAGACTTCACACCACAATCTGCCATTCCTCGAGTTCGAATCCAGTAGTTACCCACATCCTTGTCAGCGTCCAATATGAAGTCGAACCTAGCAACATGGACAACACACTGAATGAAACGGTAGAGAATGTTAACATGGCTGAATGGTAATCGGAATCCAACAACGTATGTATCAATTGTAAACTGATTGTCGTTGCAAATAAGTTGGGTTTAAAACCTCTTTGAACAAGATTCCAATTATAGTATGCAGTGACAGGCTGACGTTGTATGAGAGCCCAGAGGAATTACCAGGTTTTACACCTTTTTCCACTTTCTTGAAACCCACGAGCACGGGTAGGGTGCTGAGAACCCACGAAACATAATCAGAACGAACCGGTATTCGAACTGTGAATTTGACTCAGTACCTCTAGACGAACACATTTGAGTCGAGATACCTTTCTCCAGCGAAAATGTTGAAGGAGCTGACAACGACTGGTTCGTGTGGGACACCGTCGGTGGCGATCATGGTGATGTCGTGGTGATCCACAGAGACTTGGATGGGGCAGTTCAGGATGCCGTTACTGATGACCCGGAAACGGTACTTTTGGTCCTTCCTGACCTTGAAGACAGAGTAAGGAGTGTGGACGGTTTGGTTGGTGTCTGGATCCACAAACTCCTGGAACGCTCCACGACCTGGAGACAGAGCGAGTGATTTGGCTTTGAACAGTATTGCCGTTATATCACGGTGTGTGGGAGGAAAGGTAGATATGATGCAGGTCTCAGAACGTAACCACTTCGTCGAAACCCGGGAGCATGGGTATGGTGCTAAGAAACCAAGAAACGCAATCGGGGTGAACCTGGATTCCAACCCTGCTCACACGTTTCTGTTGTGCCAACGGGAAGCGCCTCAGCGAATTACGACGCCTTAGGCGACTGGCAGGGGCCACCCGTGGCCCCGCCTGGAGACAGATGACATACACGTACCTAACATAACATTGACAAGTGTTCTCTCAAAATAGTATTGTTTTCCCCTTTCATCCTGATAATATTGTAACGTTTTACACCTGATATACCTTTTTGTAAATCAGAGTTGATAAGAATTATTTTACTGCCCGAAAATTGAACTAAGTAAATGGACTGTTTGTATTGAACTGATTTATGAACAATTCATAGCAATTTGAAACAGGTCAAGAAACACACAAATACCACTCAATTGATTCAATGTGATGACTTGTTTTTTTTTCGAAAACCGCTATTTAACCGTTATTTAAAAAAGAAACAATATTTTAATTGCTTTAGAATGTGTGTTTATATGTATGTATGTATGTATGTGTGTGTGTGTGTGTGTGTGTGTGTGTGTGTGTGTGTGTGTGTGTGTGTGTGTGTGTGTGTGTGTGTGTGTGTGTGTGTGTGTGTGTGTGTGTGTGTGTGTGTGTGTGTTTAGAAACGTTGATGTATCAAATTATGTACACTGCCCTCTGTGAAAGTAGCAAACGGGTACTCAGTGTGAAACTTCGAGCTTATATTGGCGTTAAGATTGGTTGAAAGTATACGTCACCATTGATTAGCATGGACGCAGGTTTGTTGTCGTAGCCCGCGTGATGGTGGCCGGCAAACCTGTTGATGGTTAGTTCAACAAGCCAGTCGTGTACAATCATGGTGTGTTCTGGAAGGTCATGGTCATACAGGTGCGAGGCTGGATCACGTGACAGAGGTTCCCGGATGATCAGCGCCCCGAACAAACCGTCAGAGCGATGGAGGCCGGCATGACCGTGCCAGAAGAGAGTCCCTCGGTTAGCTGCCTTGAACCTTCAGGAAAAAGAAGATTGTGTTTTAATGCTTCATTATTGCCAACACCTGGGTAACATTGTACAAAACAACCTTACCGCATCGACTGTCGTAAGTCTGTATTCTAGTATTGGAGTTATGACCACCTTAGCGCTAAGATGGCTTTGTACAACAGCATCCAGAACGCCAGGTGGCGTGAAATATTGCAGTGTCACTGAAAACCATAACATTGACAAGCATTCTCTCAAACAAGTATTGTTTTACCCTTTCATGTTGATTAATGCTGATGTAAAAGATATAAATGTACGTATTTTACTCTAGCATGCGTCATTTATCATGCTATATTAGACCGCCTCTGTGGTCTTGTGGTAGAGCGTCCGCCAGGAGAGCGGAAGGTCAAGGGTTCGTCAAAGAAAAAGATATTAAAAGATGGTCCTTGTTGTTACCCTGTCTGCTCGGCTTTAAAGGAGTAAAACAAGGACTGGTCGGCTCGGTGTCAGTATATTGTGTCTGAATGGAGTACTCATGTTAAACTGCGGCATGGTATCTCAGTGTGCTAGCACCATAGATCGGCATCAGTCCGGACTAGTACAAGCAGCCACGCACACACACACACACACACACACTTCACCTAACCTCAGCTCACCTCGGCTCACCTCACCTCACCCCACCTCACCTCACCTCACCCTCACCTCACCCTCACCTCACCCTCAACTCACCTCGCCCTCAACTCGCCCTCACCTCACCTCACCTCACCACACCACCTCACCCTCACCTCACCTCACCTCACCTCACCTCACCTCACCCTCACCTCATGCTATATTAATGCAAACAAGTGTCCTGCCAACAGCTATCGGATGAACTTATATTATCTGCTGTTGGAGACTAACTAATGTTCAATGTTGTGCCTGACGAATGTTATGCTTGCATCAAATCCTATATTTCTTGTCAATGTCATACCTCGCGTTTACCCCTGGGAGGAAAGAGGTACAACTATTATTGTGCCAATATGACATTACATAAGGAAGTCTTTAAGGAACATTTGTTGTTGTTTTTGGTTTTTTTCCTGAAATGTCAAGATACCAACTTGAAATTCCAAGATGCTGTGTTGAAATTTCAAGATGCTAACTTAAAATTTCAAGATACAGAAGTTGAAATTTCAAGAAAATGATCTTGAAATTACAAGATAGTAAGTTGAAATTTCAAGATACTAAATTGAAATTACAAGATACTAACTTGAATTTTCAAGATAGATACAAAGTTGAAATTTCAAGGTAATCATATTTAATTTAAAGATAATAACTTGAAATTTCAACTAAGTATCTTGAAATATCATCTTAGTATCTTGAAATTTCAACTTAGTATCTTGAAATTTCAACTTAGTATCTTGAAATTTCAACTTAGTATCTTGAAATTGTACAAACTATACTGACATAGTTAACCACGTTGATGTCGAACCAAGCTTCAATGAAGGTGACACATGTAAAGGATGGAGCATATCTATACCACACTGTATGCCCTCCCTGTCCACCATAGTAAATATTATTTTATTGGTACAATCGCCACAATGTGTGCCGTATGAGCCGGAGTGAGGACAGGCTGGTACAGTATACCTTTTCAACAAATATGTTGTGGGATAGTAAGTTTTCTTGCGCGCACCTGTACTGGAACTTGGAGTGAGATGTTATTGGACACTGGGTGATCATGCTGACGCCGTCATGATGTTGGTATCCTTTCTGGAAGACGCCGTGCCAGTGGATGGTTGTTCCTTCTGACCCATACAGCTTGTTGTGCACGTTGACAATGATCATGTCGTTGTGGCACACCTTCGCGGAGAAGAAACATGTTTTTACGTAAACATAATACAGTTGAACGTAACGTGCTTTCCGCGAATGTAACACACCACATATGGTATTCAAGCGTCAATGTGCCAATAACGTAACAGCAGAGTGCCGGGATATCTTTTCATAGCATAATTGGCCTTCAGGTTTAAAAAAGTAGACTGTTTGCTTGACGTGCGTTGTGTTGTGAAAAACATTAAATTGTTCGGCTCATCCTATCACAGCAACAAGATGTCCTAGGTTGATGACATGCTTATTGTTATTGGCAGAGACACTAATCATGCAAGGGTTTATTTATGTTGTTAATTCAGACGATGATCTGTAAATAATCGAAAAATCCAGTGATTGACACCATGAGCACCGATCTACGCGAGCCTGACAATCATGCTTCTGAGTTGATGATCTATATTTATTAACGAATCAATTAGTTGTGACATTATATACATATATAATGGCACAATCAATTACTTCGTTGGTAACGTTTCCGTTGTTCCATCGCTGAGACAGGCTCACGTTTTCGCGAACACCTGGTGTCGTCACAATTTGGTTGTCATTCATAAATATATGCTGATGTTATGTTCGGAATCGCACGAAGGACACTGTTTATAGTGGAGACTTTTTGATAATTATTCTTCCGGGTTCAGCACCTGGTAGTTATATCTTACCTGTATCGCAGGTCCTGGTAGCATCCTGTTAACCGTGATGATGCCCCTCCCAACGCCGTCAGTAGCGACACAGTGCGGCCTGTAGCAGTCGGTGACGTTGTACGGACAGTCGTAGCAGGCCTTGGTCAAGACGAAGTAGTTTTCTACTGTGAAGTTGTAGGTGCACGACATAGGTGACGCCCCCTCCACACACTCGCGCATACATGGGTGGCTTGCATAGTCTGAAACACGTGTCCATGGGTTCACTAATGTATAAGGCTCGGGGATGGAGGTTGCCAGATATACAACCGACAAAAACTAAACGATTAAATGAAAGGGTAGGCGTAAGAACGATACATGTCTGTAAAATTAATTTCGGATTGTACATCATTTTGGGCGAAACATACATGGCACCTTAGTGGCATACGTTTGGTTGCCTTGCGTTTGGTTGCCCTTGGTATTGCCAACCATTCCGCCTGAAGAGCTTTCCCATCATATAATCACCGCAAAAAGAAATGCGAATGCCATACATAATGGTTCATGTATGAAGACTCACAGTTACTCATATTCAAGATATATTAAATTGGTTAGATACACAAATGAACATACTGATGTGTTGTATGAACAGATGCTCACAGACTCATCACATGTGACGTCATAGATTCATGACTCGGGATGCACCATTTGTCTCGTGCAGGATTAGCGTGTAAATTGACTTTAAAATATAAAGTGGTCCACTCTTTTTCCTTGTAAACGTTAATTGATTCAAATTCACTTATAGCTATTAGATAAACAGATCTATCGCTTATTAATTTTAAATAGTAAATTACATGGTTCTTTTCTAAAGAATGATGGGGATAATTGAATCGTTTAACGTGAGTGTACTTTTACACCTTTTACATTAACAAGTATGAAATAGTAGAAATATATTTTATTTACTCAATACATGTAACTGTGACGGGGGCACGGGGCCAGTACAGAGTTGCGTCCCTTGGACACGCCAGAAACCTATCATTGGGGGTTCGAATCCCGGTTCGCCACGATTATGTTTCTAGGTTTGTCAGCACCATACCCGTGCTCGTGGGTTTCACCGAAGTGGTAAACGTCTGAGACCTGCATCACTTCGGGCTTTCCTCCAACATTAAGATGACACGCCGTGATAAAACTGGAATACTGTTAAAAGTGGCGTTAAACCCAACTCGCTCACTGTAACTGAGACTACTCAGACCATAAAACAACTATAAATTAGAGGGGTCACAAGCCACAAATATGCACCCTTGAGCTGGTAGAAAATACACTTTGCAATGCTGTCCGACAGACAAACTGAGTCATCAAACTGAGTTGATGCGTTCAGTTCTGACCCTCCCCTACCATATTTCACAAAAAATATGTCCGAAATACCTCCTCTGTGAACGAAAGTCAGATTGTCACTTAGAATAGAGATCAAGGTATAGTTAATAAACATTTCCAATGTTCTAAATACAAACAGCTAGAAAGTGTCCGTTGTTTATTCTTGAAATACATTGTATATTAATAACCAAATACCATAAACAAGCTTGACACCTATGGCTGTGGGCATTCCTTAACAATTGAAATTAACGTTACTCTGCGAGACATGCGTCCAACAGTCATTTTCACTTCGACCCGAAAAAAATTCATTAAGGCCTATTTTGAAAAACGCAATTTCTCGTTTGTATAGGAGATGTGGTTACACCCCGGCAGAGATACAGAGAGGAACAGGATTCGTGTAATAAGAATAACGAACACTCCCGTTAACTTCACCTTATTGAATACCGGGGACGAATGCTAGCTAGCTGGGTATGTAGCCTGACTTAACTATCAACAACCCCACGTGATATCCCCCTTGCCAGGGCAACGGCTGACTGCACAATGACTGCCCACAACCACCCCGGCATATAACTGGCCCTGATGTGACATATAAAAAGAGCAGCCAAGGATAAAAATGAAATTATATTAATATACGAAAATAGAAATCATATCAATACAAAAAGAGAAATTATGTGAATACCAAACTCACAATAGATATGTGTACCCTATTCACACACATGAGTCCCAAAGAGGGACAGGTCAGCCGAAATTGCTTAGAAAGAAGGCCACCTCTTAAACACTGAATGCAACAACAACAACAACAACAACACATTGTGTCAAATGTAACGTAAACATCTGGTATATAACCGGCACTGACATGACCTCGTATCCAATATAACGCACGATATCACCAGAGCGAAAAGCATCTCTCCAACCGAAGTACCTACAATTTCAAAGGATAAAATCTTACATTGCTGACCAAATAAAATATTGAGGTTGCTGACCTTCCTTTTCTATAGGCCGTGTTTGAGGCCATGACGGTGATTGTGTTTGGTCTGACCTCAAGTTTCCCGTGTCTCCTGTTGCGTGTTAAGTTGACCATAGAAAAATACCTTTTTTCGCCACACCCATGAGAAAACACTTCTCGGTCGCCCTCGTTTTCATATTGATTTTGTACCCAAAACAATTTAATACCTTTATAGTACCTATGTTTTTTGTTTCAACCATATACATTCTTTTAGCATCTTAAAGTCACATTACTATCACTTTCCTGTCAAAAACGATACAATTATCTTGCAAGCTCTGACAGTACTACCGCCTCCGTGGTCTTGTGGTAGAGCGTCCGCCCGGCGAGCGGAAGGTCCAGGGTTCGATCCCCGGCCGCGTCATACAAAAAGACGTTAAAAGATTGTACTTGTTGTTACCCTGTCTGGCGCTCGGCATTAAGGGGCTAAAACAAGGACTGGTCGGCTCGGAGTCAGTATACTGTGTCTGAGTGGGGTATTCATGTTAAACTCTCAGTGAGCTAGCACTATAAATCGGCATCAGTCCGGACTAGTACAAGCAGCCACACACACACATACACGTGCATGCACGTCGCTATATAAGTGCAATAATCTTAAACCCAAACCTCACCTCTGACAGTACTTCATAGTCATATTACGAGCTTGATGAAAAGTTTTATTATATTTTCTGCTCGCGCCAAAGACTACCAATCAAAATTGTAATTTGCAATTTCAAAACTTAACGTTTCTATATATAAAATCAGAACTTTAACATGCAACTTAATTCCTTCGCGTCACTGAAAATCTCAACATATGTTCCGGAAGAAACTAGTTCCATGATGAACTGATCACCCTTGTAATTTGCAAAACACGTCAAATTAAATATATTTTTAAAGTGAAATATAAATGGATCTATCTTCTTGGGTACAAAATCATTTGGGTACAAATTTGTTTTGTATACAAAATCACATACTTTGGTCACCATTACATTGTCAATGAAATAACGCTACAATTTAAACGGAATATACATGCGATAACATGATATAGACTGAACAAAGACATATCTACTCGAAGTATTGTTTTACAGACAAGAACAAAAATCAAAACCCTGTCTGTTCCAGCTGAGTGACCCAAGGGAAATAATCGGAATCGGTTCCAGTTCTAACCCAGACGTCCCGACGTGGGTACAATGTCTGAAGCCCATTTCTGGTGTCCCTCGCCGTGGTATTAATGGAATATTGCTGAAAGCGGCGTAAAACCATACTTTGAAGATCAACATTTGACATACAATGTTAAATGTCTTGTGTATAAATGTGGGTATGGTTACATCTTGGACAACCAATGTTTCTAAGAGGATCATGCCATGTTCATATCGAAAATATGGCAGACGCTTTTTGACATGTACTTTAGATGTTTCTAGCAAATGCGAATAATAAAAATATTTAATAATGCAAATATGCGCAGAAAATTATTTAACTGATGTAAATATAAGAAAATGCAGGATATCATAAACACAGTTAAGTGAGTGAGTGAGTTGGGATTATCGCAGCTTTTAACAGTATTCCAGTTATATCACGGCGTGCCAGCTTAATGTTGGAGGAAAGCCCGAGGTGATGCAGGTCTCAGACGTCTACCACATCTGTGAAACCCACGAGCACTGGTATGGTGCTGACAAATCTAGAAATATAATCGGGGCGAACCGGGATTCGAACCCACAATGATAGGTTTCTGGCGTCCCCAAGGGACGTAGCTATGCACAGCGCATCGCGGCGCCTTAGACGACTGGGCCACCCGTGCCCCCAACACAATTAAGATGCAGCTCACACAGGTTAATAGTTGAAGCTGGCAGACACAAATAAATACCAAAATGTTTAAGATTATGTAAACAATGTTCTTTAAATGTCGTCGAAGATGAACTTCACTTTTTACTTCAGGAGAAAATATATTGAACAAAAATACTATGTACATCAAAATAAATAAAGCTTATCTCTTTAATATCACATGTGAGCAAATCGGTTATCCACAATCTATTTATATATCATGCCATGCTATTAAGAAATGAATCCTTGTAACCTGTTTAACCGCTTTCTCATTGTAATGTATTCTGCACTATGCACTCGTAGCCTTACAGCTATATATGAAAAACTGAATTGACAAGCATAAAGCTTTTTATTCTACCCCGCATCGGCTATTTACATACCCACACAACCCAAACTATAGGTCGGCCAGCCGTCGTTTGTACACTCCAATTAAAAATCTAAATAAGTAATGATCAAGTACGAATTCCGAAATTATCAACAAGCGGTTTTTATGCTTCATATAAACATCAAATATCCCTCTTCGAATACCATGGTTAAACATAGGGATGTCTTTACTGAAACATTCATACTCAATCGTAAACTGTAAGTGCGGATAAGATTAATGGTTTTATTCAAGTGATGTACAGAGTATGGTTCCTAATTGTAATTAAGAAGTTGTTCATCCATCAATCTTATCCTTGCTTAGTATCCAACTTCTAAATGCAACTCAAAGAAGTCAATGTGAAAAACTCACCCGATAATTCATATTCTGCTAAAGCAACACTGACGCCAGCGAATACCAGAACTAAACGTTCTATCATGTTGGACATGTTGTGTTTGTGTTGACCACAAGAGCTTACTCCACTGACCTCTGACTCGACCCGCGCCCGACAGGTAGCGCTGTAAACTAATAATTGTCCTCGGATTGCAAAGTTAGTGAAGTGTGCAGCCCATGAAACAGGTGAACAATGACAAGCACACTCATTTTTGTTAAGGTTAGCTGTGAGTGTGTGTGTGTTTGCATGTGAGGGTGGAGAGAGGGGGGCTGCCTACTTGTTGATCCTGCTAGGAAGCCTAGGATGAACAATTCAAGCCAAATTTTATGTGTTGATGTTATTTAGACCTGTTACATTTGCATTATAAAGGCAGGAAGAAGATCACCATGGTAAAAATACCCGTTACCTCCCCATACTCCTACACTTTGTTAAAACAATGCATAGGGTTTACCTGTTGTTAGTAGAAGGACAAGCCGGGGTAAATGACATGGATGAACTTGACATAACAGTTGTTAGTTATTTTAACTGCAACTGAGGGATCATATATGTATCTTGTTGTTGTTGCTTAAAGTGTTTAAGAGGACGCCTTCTGCCTTAGCAATTCCGGCTGATCTGTCCCTCTTTGGGACTCGTGTGTGTGAATAGGGTACACAAATCTGTTGTTTGAGTATTTATAGAATTTCCGTTTTGGTATTGATATGATTTCTATTTTCGTATATTAATGTGATTTAATTTTTTTTCTTTGGAGTCTCTAATTGTATGCGTTCCAGAAGCTGTCCATTCTCAGAAATAGAGTTAGTTTGGCCTTCGCTATTGCATCTCCTGGCTTTAGAAGATCTACGACAGACAGCGGATCTAACTGCAGTTCTTGATTTAACCAGCCCTGGCTGGGGCATGGTCTTGACATTCCAGTAACAAGTGAGCAATGGATTCAGGTTGATTGCAAGATGATTAACCTTGTTAAAGTGCTTTTTGTGACCGAGTCTGAGGCGTGCGTGAGATGGCTACTTCACCTTTCCTTAATTTGAGTATGAGAATGCCTTTTGGTTAATCTTGGGTTTCAATTTTTCCGACCTTACTTGCGTCCCACTGGGCTTGCCATCTTTGGGCTATGGTGGCTTTGCGTTTGCTTTTTATCGCTAGTTTACTGAAGGGGTTAGGCAGGAATATCACAACATCAGCTGCGCATTATCTCATATTAGCAGTCATGTTATAACACAGCCCCGCATTGTCGCATTAACTGTCATGTTAATTGCCAGCCCCGCATTATCTCATTAGCATTTATATTCTAACACAGGCCCGCATTATCTCATTAGCAGTCATGTTACAACACAGCCCCACATTATCTCATTAGCAGTCATGTTATTACACAGCCCAGTATCATCTCATAAGCTGTCATGTTATAGCACAGGCCCGCATATGTCATTAGCAGTCATGTTATAGCACAGCCCCGCATTTCTCATTAGCAGTCATGTTACAATACATCCCCGCATATCTCATAAGCAGTCATGTTATAGCACAGCTCCACATTATCTCATTAGCAGTCATGTTATAACATAGCTCCACATTATCTCATGACAGTCATGTTATCACACAGCTCCGCATTATCTCATTAACAGTCATGTTATAACACAGCCCCGCATTGTCGCATTAGCAGTCATATAAAATGACAGCCCCGCATTATATCAACAGCCATATTATATGACAGCCCCGCATTATCTCATTAGCAGTCATGTTACAACACAGCCCCGCATTATCTCATTAGCAGTCATGTTATAACACTGCCCCGCATTATCTCATTAGCAGTCATGTTATAACACTGCCCCGCATATCTCATTAGCAGTCATGTTATAACACATCCCCGCATATCTCATTAGCAGTCATGTTATAACACAGGTCCGCATTATCTCATTAGCAGTCATGTTATAACACAGCCCCGCATTATCTTATTAGCAGTCATGTTATAACACAGGTCCGCATTATCTCATTAGCTGTCATGTTATAGCACAGCCCCGCATATCTCATTAGCAGTCATGTTTTTCACACTGCCCCGCATATCTCATTAGCAGTCATGTTATAACACAGCCCCGCATTATCTCATTAACAGTCATGTTATAGCACAACTCATCATTATCTCATTAGCAGTCATGTTATAACACAGCTCCGCATTATCTCATTAGCAGTCATGTTATAACACAGCCCTGCATATATCATTAGCAGGCATGTTACAATACAGCCCCGCGTTATCTCACCAGCAGTCATGTTACAACACAGTCCCGCATTATCTCATTAGCAGTCATGTTATAACACAGCCCCGCAAAGCTCATTAGCAGTCATGTTATAACACAGCCCCGCATATCTCATTAGCAGTCATGTTACAACACAGGTCCGCATTATCTCATTAACAGTCATATTATATGACAGCCCCGCATTATCTCATTAGCAGTCATGTTACAACACAGCCCCACATTATCTCATTAGCTGTCATGTTATTACACAGCCCAGTATCATCTCATAAGCTGTCATGTTATAGCACAGGCCCGCATATGTCATTAGCAGTCATGTTATAGCACAGCCCCGCATATCTCATTAGCAGTCATGTTACAATACAGCCCCGCGTTATCTCATAAGCAGTCATGTTATAGCACAGCTCCACATTATCTCATTAACAGTCATGTTATAACACAGCCCCGCATTATCTCAGTAGCAGTCATGTTATAACACAGCCCCGCATATCTCATTAGCAGTCATGTTACAACACAGCCCCGTATTATCTCACTAGCAATCATCATATAGTACAGCATCAGGCACGCATTATTTCATTAGGAATCATGTTATATCACAGCATCAGTGCCGCATTATCTAATTTGTAGTTATTTTATATAGCAACATTCGGGCATGATCTTACTGGCAGCCACTTTATACACGGCCCTGTACCTTAGCCTGTGTACTGTACCCTGCATCCAACCCTGGATCTACTCTACCCTTTAGCATGTATGTATCCACTACTAAACCCTGTTAATATACCCACTTTATACACTGCCCTGTACCTTAGCCTGTGTACTGTACCCTGCATCCTACCCTGGATCTACTCTACCCTTTAGCATGTATGTATCCACTACTAAACCCTGTTAATATACCCACTTTATACACTGCCATGTACCTTAGCCTGTGTACTGTACCCTGTATCCAACCCTGGATCTACTCTACCCTTTAGCATGTATGTATCCTCCTGTACCAAACCCTGTTAATATACCCACTTTATACACTGCCCTGTACCTTAGCCTGTGTACTGTACCCTGTATCCAACCCTGGATCTACTCTACCCTTTAGCATGTATGTATCCTCCTGTACCAAACCCTGTTAATATACCCACTTTATACACTGCCCTGCACCTTAGCCTGTGTACTGTACCCTGTATCCTACCCTGGATCTACTCTACCCTTTAGCATGTATGTATCCACTACTAAACCCTGTTAATATACCCACTTTATACACTGCCCTGTACCTTAGCCTGTGTACTGTACCCTGCATCCAACCCTGGATCTCTACTCTATAGCATGTATGTATCCTCCTGTACCAAACCCTGTTAATATACCCACTTTATACACTGCCCTGTACCTTAGCCTGTGTACTGTACCCTGCATCCAACCCTGGATCTCTACTCTATAGCATGTATGTATCCTCCTGTACCAAACCCTGTTAATATACCCACTTTATACACTGCCCTGTACCTTAGCCTGTGTACTGTACCCTGCATCCAACCCTGGATCTTTACTCTATAGCATGTATGTATCCTCCTCCACCTATACCCTGTTAATATACTCTGTTTATTATATTCTTCAATGTGAAAGATTGCGTTTTCTGAAGTTGAGAAAAATGATGTTTTCATTGCAGTGAACACAACATTTTGACGGAACTATTGTCATACAAGAGCTACCTCCCGGCAAAGTGTCACCCTTTATCGTAAGTGTCAGTTCCGTACACAAACTGTTGACTTCCACTTTATGTTAATTCCACAAGGCAAGATAATGACTGATGGTCAATCATGAAGTTCATATCGCTTTTTGCCGTTTGTCATTCTCTTGAAAGTGTGTCGTTATAAACTGTAAATTACTCACTTAACTCGTCAATTGAGACTGTTCGTTTCGCAAAGCGCCATTTTTGTTACTTGAACAACGTGTATTCCCACGCTTCCAACAGCGGTCCCGTAGCTTTCAAGAATATTATTTGTCAGTTGATTTTGATTATAATCAGATGCAAATGTATGAGAACAATTCTTAGTGACCTCAAATACTTTTTATTACTTTTACTTTTATATTTTTACGATTTTGCAAACTCGGAACTACTCGGAAACGTCCCCACGTGTCAGGTAAGAACAATTGTACGTTTCAAGGTCTTAATCTTGTTATCAAAAGCATATTTCACTCAACACATGAAATATCCTCTATATACTGCCTATAATTATCCAACGTGTAAGTCTAGATTAGTTGTATCCGTTTGAACCACACGGCACTTGAACGACTGACCAAGCACTGTGAACAAGAACATTGCCTTCTGAGCAGGAGTAGTTACGCTCCAGTGCTTGTCCTTGTACTGACACAGGTGTCAGACCATGAATAACTTGATGTCAACAAGGTAGGTATTTAATCTCCTCATGCCCCCAGGTAAATATAGATACGGCCAGTGATTGTTGGACATCTCCCAAACGTACAATCGTACGAGAAAGTCATGCAGTGTTCAATGTAAATAGAATTTGGAACCGAACGTGTTATTAAATAACCTAGCTCTACATTGAAAACATCCTTCAGGTCATCACAAACAGGTAAACATCGTCCTCCTTTAAGTCACCATGAACAAGTAAACTTAGTTCTCACTTGAAGTCATCATAAACAAGTTAACATCGTCCCCCTTTTAGTCCTAATGAACAAGTAAATCTTATCCCCTTTTTGCTCATGATAAACAAGTAAACCTAGAGCTTCTTTAGTCATCATGAACAAGTTAACCTAGAACCCCTTTAGTCATCATGAACAAGTAAACCTAGCCCTCGTTTAACTCACCGGAAACTAGTCAACCTAGTCCTCTTTAAGACATCATAAACAAGTAAATCTAGTCCTTTAAGTTATCCTTACCATAAAAAAACATAAAC